CCAAAACAATAAAAAAACAACAACTAGAATGTGGTTGATAAAAATGAATAGATGGTTAAGACATCAAACACTCAAGAATAAGAATTGAATGTTCTTTCAACAGCTTGAAGAATGTGGAGCTGGGAGGAAAATCAGATACTGGCTAAACTAACACAAAAGGTATGGTTTGTTTAAGTGTTCCCAGTCAGTGTGGTTGGTAGACTTTGGTTCAAGTGAGTTTTGTGAACCCAACAAACATAAATGTATTCAACAACAATGGCTAAGTAAATTGGCTCAGCACGATGATAAACACTCTCTACTTAATATCAGAGCACCTGCAAGCAAGTGGAGAAAGTTCCAGATGTACTATTCGAAACAAAAGCATATGCACGTTTATTCAGAAAAAAAATCTACAATTGCTGGCTAAAGGCTTTCTAAGATGTTTATTCATTATGTATCATACATGCAAACTGAATGGCTGATGCTCCTATTTTCTTGTGACAGAAAGAACCAGCTCAGAATTCTCAGTAGGCTTAGATTGGCTCCATTCACACATGAAACTAAAACCCATTCTGGTTTGTTTGACTGTGATCTCATTCTTCAATTTATAATTTAGATTTCTAAAGCCTTCCAGTTCAAGGGCACCATTGCACAGCTCATGAATTAAGAACATAAAAGACAATCATAATAAGAGAGCAACTATAGCCGTAAACTAATCCACATAATTCAACCCAGATACATGCCTCAAGGACCCCACAAATCCTGGGCAGATACTATGATATCAATGCTTGCTTCCTAGACCACATCAAATGACAATGCTGGAGATATGGGACACGGAACACTTTCTCAGTTTTTATGAGATGGAGAGAAACAACGAGAGACAATTGGTTCCTGGGACATCCAGGTCCTATGTCAGAAAAGCTTTATACATGACAATTGTCTCTACTTGCCAACCAGAAACTCTCTGGTAACAAGTATACTTCCAAAACAAAGTCATTATATGGGCAACAAAGGGCATGTCTATAACTCTGGATGCCATTGCACCATTGACCAATTATATCTTCAGAAGAGTCTTCAAGGTCTGCCCCATGTGCATGAATGCAGTAATCCGTTCATGACTAAGGCATAAGTGACTGTAAGAAAGGACTTCCTTCTGAGGGATGGATGCAAAGATCTCCCCAGCCCACAATTGCCACCTGCTTTTCAAGCAGGACCATTGAGTCCAGGAAGGCCTTCAAACTGCAGGAAATTAAATTCCCTTCAGAATTAAAGACGGAAAATCCCAGCACCAGAAGAATCACAAGCCCATTTGGTTTTGTCAGGGTTAAACCCCTTAAACCTCTTCCTCCCCATCCAGACCTTCCAGATACGGGGACAATATCTTGACAGCATCCCTTGATCCATCAGCAGCCCAGACGATTGTCATCTGCATATTCATGACACTTGACCCTGGCTCAATAGATGACCACATCCAATGGCTAACATCTACAGGAAGATGAAAGGGTCAAATCCTGAGACACCTCACAGGCCAGTGACTTTGTGCATGGTTTCTCTCCATCTATCAGAAATGATTGGGACCAGCCATGGGAGGGTAATCATCTCAGTCAAAGTGTAAACAAAGTAAACATTCCAATTTTTTTTCATACTGTTCTACGCATGAAAGAAATAAGTTACGATTGACTGCACAATAATTGGGGTCTGCACAACACCCCCCAGGTGTGATATCTACTTATCTAGGAGCAAACCCCACAATAGTATTAGAATTTAATTTTTTGCCTAAAAACTGCCTCCAAACTCTATTGGAGAAACCATCCCAGAACAGACAGCCATCATTCAGCATCCTTCCATCATTTGCATTATTTATTTTTGCTGCAGTGGGAGTCCAGCCTTTCTGTTAGTTTGGTGGAAACAAGACTGCTGTGGCGCATTTAGCAAACCATGGTTTTTGTACAGAGTGTGAACCTGTTCGGCAAAAATGCATTTTGAGGAAAGCCCCACAGCATGTAGATACACAGGCTGCTTTAGAAACACAAAGTTCCCAGGAGAGAAGGATGAGGGTGGTTTGATGGCACTTGGGTTTGTTTGCCTATGGAGACTCCGTCATCCAGGTCATGGTTGTCCCAAAGGTGCTTTTTTCAAAAGGCAACTGTGCTTCGTTTTTCCCAGAAGACGTTTTGCTTCTCATTCAAGAAGCTTTATCGGAACCGAAGAAGCTTCTTGGATGAGAAGTGAAAAGTCTTCAAGGAAAAACAAAGTCCAGTTGCCTTTGGGACTTTGTTTCACAGAAAGGAATACAAGCAAAATTCAATCTCAGCAAGAGCTTTCTAAGATTTCAAATGGATTTCTCCCCTAAATCTAGGATTGTATACAAAGCATGCCTAAGGTTCCTTGAGACAGTCTATGCTTTTTTTTTTTTTAAAAAAAATCTGCATCCTGCCTTTATTATTTTTACAAATAGCTCAAGGCGGTGAATATATCCAACACATCTCCCTTCTCCTCTTTTTCCCAACAACAACCCTGTGAGGTGAATTGGCCTTAGAGAGAGGAACTGGTCCGAGATCATAACCTAAGGATGGACCAGAACTCAAGTCTCCTGGTGATTGACCCACGGTCATCCAGCTGGCTTTCATGGCTACGGTGGGACTTGAACTCAGACTCTCTTGCTCGATAGCCTGGTGCCTTAAACACCAGATCAAATTGGCTATCTTCTGTCTTGCTACCTCTTACTGTACTGCTGGTAAGACATACACAAGACTACCCACTTTCACGCATTTGTAAAGAGGTCAGATTTTCCAATGAAACCCGAGAGAGACCCATGGGCGAGCTTGACACAGCCACCGCCGCGGCTGAACCGGCAGTGCCGAGGAAGGCGCCGCTGCCGCTCATTCGAAGCGCCTCGTGAGCTGTCCGAGGTGCTGAAAGCGCGTCGGCCCCAAGAATTAGCGCGAAAGGACCGACGCGCGGAGAACGCCCGGCCGTCCCCAAAACCAACCGGGGGTTCAGATGTATTGGCCACCGACTCCTCGCCCTCCCCGTTTGAGGATGATGAGAGTTTGGAACCGCCACATATCCGGACGGCGCCGGTTGGGAAAGGCTGATTCCGGCTTGCCGCCAGCGCCGCCTCTCACTTGCGAGAGCGCGCGTCCTCTCCTTTTTCGTTTCCTACGGACAGGCAAAACCCAGGTTTGCGTCTGCTTGTTTAGTCGCTGCCAACTCCCGATAGCGGGAGGGGGTTGCGGCGACTCTGAAGGGCAGGAAAGAGGCAGCAGGAGCCGGGGTAAAGGCAGGGTTTGAGGGCCGCCTGGGGCGGGCGAGGCAGACCCGAGAATTTACTTTCGCTAAACCTGCCCGTCTAAAATCAGATTTCTCTATCAGATTCAGATTAGAGAGTCTTTTGATAGAAACGACTCCCCACGTCCTTACAAGGCACTTTCAATCCCTTCCCGACTTCACGTGACAGAAACGCAGAGCCACTTTTGGAGAACAGGCGTCAGTCCGGATTAAGATACTGTATATTCTAATACCATCTACCTTCTTCTAGCTAGCCTGAATTCCCATCCGCAGAAGGTGCGGAGAACAAGCGCCCGGACCGCGAGCCCCGAAACCCATCCACAAAAGGTTTTCTGGAAATCCTAAGAAGAGTGTCAAAGCAAACAAACTCTTCGTAATTTCTTTGCGCTGCTTTCTTTTTATTTTGATCCACCTTCCTCCTCCTGAAACACACACAAATGCAGGCACGCACCTTCCTTTCCTGTCCTTAATAGATGGAAAGGTTAATTTATGGAGGCTAATTCTGGATGGTTATTGGAACACTGCGCGGGTGAAAAGAAGAACACCGGCGCCGTAGGTTCTAGAAGCCCCCAGCCCTGATTCAGGGTCCAAGAACGCCAGCGGGAGATTGGACGGAGCGGGCACCTCGTCCGCGGGCTTCAAGGGGCGAACTTCTGGATTCTCGCCCTTTGCTTAGAAAACAGAGCCGAGGGCAGGTAAATAAAAGCCAGGGATAAACCTGAGCGGTGGCGCTTAATTTCAGGTCGAGGATCCCACCAGCCCAGAACGCGGGTGCTTCTGAACACATGCGGAGCGGCCGACCCTTCCCTCGGAAGTAACTGCCGATGGGATCAGTGCGGGGGTCAAGACGGGGGTGAAGCTTCTTGGTTCCGGGTTCTGAAGGGAGCAGCTCAGTCTGCGGCACCTGCTGAGTGCCCGGAGGCCAAGCGCCGAGGTGGCGGGCTTCAGGCTGCGCCGGCAGGAAGAGCTTCAAGGCGACGCCCTTCCACGCGGGCACAGCTCGACCTCTGCGGGGGCAGGAAGCTCGGCAGAGGCGTAAATCTAGAGAAGGAAAAGCGGGTCCCGGGACGCCCGAGTCTCCCCCAGGTCTGGGCGCGCAGGATGGAGAGAAGGGCCGAGGGAAAACTGGCAGAGATGCGCGCGCCATGGGCTCCGCACCTCCGGCGCGCACCGAAGGACAGCCGCTTCGGCGCTCAGTTTGCCCAAGGCGCAAGGTCGGCTTGCCCCCCCCCCCCCACGCCTCAGCCCGTCGGATTTAAGCGCCTCGGGCGACGCTGTTCCCCTCCTCACCCTCTTTCCCCACCGATGCTTTTCGGTGCGAGCCTGGGCAGGTACGTCCGTAGAACTCAGGCCACGGAGCAGAAGGAGCGGCTTAGGTGAGTTTCGGGGCCAGTTCCAGCAGCCCTTGCCAACTAGGAACGGGCGGAGGCGATGGGAACTGTAGTCTTGGCAACTTGAGAGACACCGGGAGAGGAACTTCCTTGTTCAGAGAAAGCCGGAACGAAGTGCCAGAACCGCCAAATAAGAACATCCCGCGCCAGAGTCAATGGTGAAGCTGTGTCTCTGAGCCTACGCAGAGTGTCCGCGCAAGAGTCTTCAGCAGAAGTCTAAGGCGGCGGGGTGCCGGGAGGAGACCCTAAACGCTGACCACAGTCCCTGCGGGGAAGGTTACCGAAACCCCCACTGGGAAAGGCGGCCGTGGGCTTCTCCCGAGGGGCGCTGCCACTCACCTGGCTCCACGGGCGGGCGAGTCCTCCCGGCGCGGCTCACTTCGGAACAATTCTGCCCCGGTCGGTCCGCTTTTGCCTCCTCCGCTTCCCTCCCACGAAAGAGGCGGCCGCTGCTGCCTTCCCCCCCCCCTCTCGGGGAAGGAAACAAAGGAGGGGGGGACGCGCGCGAAGCCCGCCCGCCCGCCTGACCGACCGCCCGACCGGGGATCCGCTGCGTCGCGTTGTGCCTCGGCTCCGCCGGTCGGGCCTCCTTTGTGCGCTCTGGACCGAACCGAGGGCCAACCGCGGGGGCGCAGCCAGCTCCGAGGCTGCCTGGTCGGGAAACCTTTTTATATAGAGGCGCGCCAGTTCCACGCCCCAGGACGGGAGCCCGAATCACAAACTCCTTCGCCAGGCAAAGCGCTGGGAGGGATTTGTACCCACTCCAGCCTCCTCCTCCCCGAGATCACCAATGCCTGGGGACCCGGCGGCGGCGGCTGGTGCTGCAGCCCACGCCCCACCCCGGGTTGCAAACGCCCTTGGCGCGCTTCCCTGGGAACGAGGCCCCCCGAAGACTTCGGAGCCAGCAGGGCGGGTTGTATGGAGAGCGCAGCTCCCGGCCGGTTAGGAATCCAACCCACGGACAAACCAAACGCGCTTTCTCTACTCGGCCTTTGGAGGGGGGAAAAGGCTCGGAAATGGCTTAGTTAGTTCCTTCCATTTCAGGTGTCGAGCGCAGCCCCCGCCAGTCACGCGCGCCTTTGGGAAGGCGCTGCTTCCATCTCCCCCCCCCCACGGCATTCGGAGGGAGTTACTCCCACGTAAAGTATGTACAGAACCCACCCACTCCCCGCGGAAAGTGCAGAAGGAGCTCGTTGGGACTTACTTCTGAGTAAACCGGAGGGAAAAAAAAAAAACAGGCACCTTGGCGGTTGCCTCGCCCTTAATGAGCGCGGCTTGAGGATTATAAGCCCACGTTGCGAAACTGAAGCGGGGAGGGTGGGAAGAGGGAGATCAAAGAGTCAGCCAGTCTGCATCGCTGATGCTCCAACATTGCACTCCCCGCGGTCATTTCTGGCTTTTTGGACCCCGTAACCCGTATCTTCCTCTTCTCAAGCCCCGTTGGAGGCCTTTGCTCACCCAGATTTGGTTTTTAAAAAGTCCGGTGAGCCGTCCTTTTTTGGGGAACGTCTAAGTCTGAGCCCCAAACCCAGATACACTCCCCTTTTCTCTCCCCCGCTTTCAGAAGCGAAGTTAAAACGCGCCCCTTGCTACAACAGCTAGTGAGGTGGAACAGGCTGAGAAAGAGAAGTGGTGGGGAAGGGGTGTGTGTGTGGGGGGGGGGGAAGGGATGGGACCCATTTCTTTTATGGAATTGCAAAACATTCTACATCCTCTCGTGGGAAGGTGAATTGTGCTTTAAATTTAAATCTTAGTATAATACATTCCACCCTCCTCTCTAGCAGAATTGCAGAAATTACAAAGGTGCGGAAGACAGAGAGAGGGAGGGAGAGAGAGAGAGAGAGAGAGAGGGAGAGGGAGAGAGGGAGAGAGGGAGAGAGAGAGAGAGAGAGAGAGAGAGAGAGAGAGAGAGAGAGAGAGAGAGAGAATTTTTGTATTTTGCTCTCAAGCCCTTTAAAATATTTGTTATTATTGTCCAGTTACTTCAAGGTGCAAAAATGGAAGGGGAAAGCGAAAATTCACCCATAGAACTCTGTAAATCAAAACAGGAAAATAAATAAATTGGCAAGCGCCGCGTGCGTGTCTTTACTTTTACATTTAAGCACAATGGTGTGAACAGATTTCAATCACTTCTGCTTAATATCCACATTGTCTTTTCAGGGGTTCGAGGGCAGAAGAAGTACTGCCGATTGAAAGCAAAGGGGCCCAGACCCAGCTTTTAGTTCTCACAGTAACTAACCACAAGAGGACAAAGAAAGAACAGAAAGAACAAGAAAAGGGCCAGTTTGGTCTAGTAGGGTTAAGGCACTAGGCTAGAAGCCAGGAGATTGAAAGTTCTAGTTCTGCCTTAGGCATGAAAGTTAGCTGGGTGGCTTTGGGCCAATCACCAGGAGACTGGGAGTTCTAGTCCCACCTTAGGCATGGAAATCAACTGGGTGGCTTTGGGCCAATCACCAGGAGACTGGGAGTTTTAGTCCCGCCTTAAGCAAGGAAATCAGCTGGGTGGCTTTGGGCCAATCACCAGGAGACTGGGAATTCTAGTCCTGCCTTAGGCATGAAAAGCGACTAGGTGACTTTGGCCAGCCACGCTGTCCCAGCCCAGCCCACCTCACAGAGTTGTTGTTATGGGAAAAATAGGGAGAGGAAGGCGTCTTGGGCATGTTTCCTGCCTTGGGCTATTTATAAATATAATAAAGTTAGGCCATAAATAAAATAAAAAAGTATATTCCTGCATAGAAAGTCATATGAAGAGAAAGATCACTGCTGATTCTTCAAATGTTAGAATCTCCACTGATAAGACTATGAATGATTCCCAGTGTAAAATATTATCTCCAATATTTATTAAATCTTTACTAAGTAAACAAAGAGGTCAAAGGAAGAGAGACAGTGTTCCTTCCTCCTATTTTCCTCTGCACAACCCTGTCAGGTAGGCTATGAGAGTGAACATTTGGTCCCAAATCAGCCAGGGACCTTCCGCGTCGCAAGCTGATGTCAAGATCTTAACCACTCCATGATACATAAAACTGGGGCCGCCCCAGCTTGTTATGAAAGGTATTTATTTATAACCTATTAACTTGTGACATTTCTAGGTTGCGCTAATTTCTTACATCCCTGAGCAGCCTGCAAAATACACCGTAAAAAAAAAAATACAATAAAAGCATTGGAAAAAAACCCACATCAGAAGCTCAGAACAAAACAACCATCAAAACCGAAGATCCATCAGTCCTTTGAACCAGCCCGAGGATGGAGCCAGGTTTTAAGAACAAGCAGAAATGAACTCTAAACAAACTTGGCTGGCAACGCCTGTCCTACATATGCACCATGTACAGAAGTATAAGAACGGGGGTGCTCTCCTAAAGTATAATTGCAAATGATAAAACCTATCATCATCATCATCATAGATCATCGCACAGTCAGCCAGATGTTCAGACTGGATTTGGCATTTTGTCTAATTATCGAGTCCTTACCCAGGACCTGGGATAGACAGATGTGAATGTTTGATGGTATTACAGGTATCGTCGCAGGATGGAAACAGTTCCTAGCAAGGCCGCCTTTTGCAACTGACTAATAGCGAATTTGTCAATGCCAATGGTGTTCAAATGATGCTCCAGTTGTTTTGGGATTGCACCCAAGGAGCCTATCACTATTGGTACTACCCTTGCTTTCTTCTTCTTCTTCTTCTTCTTCTTCTTCTTCTTCTTCTTCTTCTTCTTCTTCTTCTTCTTCTTCTTCTTCTTCTTCTTCTTCTTCTTCTTCTTCTTCTTCCTTCTTCTTCTTCTTCTTCTTCTTCTTCTTCTTCTTCTTCTTCTTCTTCTTCTTCTTCTTCTTCTTCTTCTTCTTCTTCTTCTTCTTCTTCTTCTTCTTCTTCTTTTCTCTCTCTCTCTCTCTCTCTCTCTCTCTCTCTCTCTCTCTCTCTCCCCCTATTACAGGACAATTGGGTGATGGCCACTGAAATTTGAAGCACCAAAGCTTTTTTCTGCTGTTTCCCCAAAGTCAGTTTTTCTGCTGTGTGAAAAAATAAAGAAAGCTGGATTCAAAAATGGGAGCAGCAGGTTGATGAGAGTCTAGTGGTTAAAGCACCTGGTTGGGAAACTGGGAGTTCTAGTTCCGCCTTAGCCATGAAAGCCAGCTGGGTGACTTTGGGCCAGTCCCTCTCTCTCAGCCCAACCCACCTCACAGGGCTGTCGTGGTGGAGAAAATAGGAAGGTGTGTCGGATATATTCGCTGCCTTGAGATACAATAAAAAAATATTTTAAAATTATTTACATATATTAACTATGTTATATTTTACATGGGGCTGAGAGAATTCCTCTTCCATCAAGGCGGCCCAGCCAAGCCAAAAGGTTGGACACCATGTTCCAGGTGAATATGAGGGGATAGACCCCCACTTCGCCCCATTAAGGAGAAAAGGGGGGCACTAACTTTCAGCCCCACCTGTAATTTTAACCTTCCCCAGCTCTTCTGCCCCTCCCCATTCCTCCCCTACCTTCTTAAAAGTACAGTGAGAAGTCAGGTTCAACCTAGCTGCTCCATCTTTGTAATTGCTCCTCATATCCATGGCAACAATTGCATGAGTGTGCGTTCGTGCATGCACACTCACACTCACAGGGAGAGAGAGAGAGAGAGGGAGAGAGAGAGAGAGAGAGAGAGAGAAACACACCTTCTGTTCGTGATCAAGAGTTCTCCTTCACCTGATCAAAAAACGGAGGTGGAGAAAGAAGGGGAGGGGAGATGTAAGAAGCCTCATTTTTAGCTTTTGCAGTCTCCAAGGGTCTCTTTCCACCCTGGGTTGTTTCAAAAGCCAGCAGGGAGCTTTGGGTTCAAGGTCAGCCAGCACGGTTTTGTCAGAAGCAAGCAAAGTACAGATGAAATCAGGGCTCTTCAAGCTTGGCCCTTTGATGACTTGTGGGCTTCAACTCCCAGAATTCCTCAGCCAGGCACGCCCCCAGTGGCTGAAGAATTCTGGGAGTTGAAGTCCACAAGTCATCAAAGGGCCACATTTGAAGAGCCCTGGATTAAATGAATCAATTAAGAACTGCAATATGTTGAAATCCGTTGTGTGGGTTGAGACCTCCAGAGAATGTGTGAAACCTTATATGTTAAGTTCAAAAACAACAACAACAACGTCCATGTTTTGGTCCATGTTCTGGGTCCTGATATTATTTAGTTCATGTTTTGAGTCAAATTTACACCCAGTTTTCGTGCAATTTGTCCAGTTTCTTCTCTACATAGACATGAGAAGGACATTGCTGTCAGATGGTGGCAGGCATCCCATTAGAGACAGAGGGTGCGAAGGTGCTTCTAATCTTGTGTGGAAAGTTGTGGGGATCTGAGGTGGTACTGCTGGTGTAAATGTGGGGGCATCTGGTTCCCATTTTAGCAGTGTTTCTTTTCTGAGAGTCTGCTCCAGGTTGGGTAGTGGTCTGGATGCAAGTGTGGGCTGTCACTCAGGGCTTAAGAAAGTGCAGTGACACTGTCCAGTCTGGGCTCAAATTTATAAATAATGCGTGTGAGTGGTTCAAGATGAGAGCTCTAAGTGATAACCAGTGGTGTTTTTCGTTTAGTTTCTGTGGTCTGTCTTTCAGTAGGTCCTTCCTGGGAATTAGTGTAGCTCTAAGGATGGCTAAATCTGGGTATTGATCTGGCTCTAAAACAAGGAGTATGAGGGGGGGGAAAGTTACGCCAAAGAGTAAAGATAGTTTCTGGACTGGAAAGAGCCCCGTGGCTGAAAAGTGAAAAGAAGCGAGAACCAGTTAAGCTATGGCAAATCTAGACAG